CTCATGTGTGTGTCCCTTCCCAGAATGTATCATATTTTAGTCATGCATACTTGATAGGCATAGACAAAAGGGAGTAAATAGAAGATTTTTTCCTAAAAGTTCATGTAGGGGACAGAGTTTGTTTTACTTTGCATGCAGCCAGGCAGGTTTGGGCTTGATTGGCCCTCTATTCTATATTGGCATAGAAACTATTCACAAAAAGGGAGTTTCTTATGATTTACCGGGGAGAAGAGATTGGTTTATTTCATTATTTGAAGAGAGATGTATGTGCAGATTGGCAGGTGTGGGGGTATCCTAAGTTGCCACCGGTTGTTAAGTGCATTGTTAGGAGAGGGGTGTGTATATGGCCCCAGCCAAGTGGAGTCCCCGGTTGCTAAGCTATTCCCTATGCCTCACTACTGTCTATAGAAGCTTTCTGCATGTAGTGGAACAGACAGACTCATTTAGCAACTTTTAGTAGGATAAAGTGGAATTGACACATCAGGTTTAGTGTTGTGGTTTCAGAGCCCCAATTTTGTGTTGGGATTTATAGGAACCAAAATGTTAGGATCTTGTTCTCTGGCCCTGATCACTGAGGCTTGCATTGGGGAGATATGTTTCTTGCCTTTTCCTCATTAAAAGCAGCTACAGAGATAGCAAGATGCCCACATTCTGCTTCACCCTTTCCTGTCTGTCATCCTGGTCCATAAGTATCTGCTAATCGGGGGAACTGAGGAAGTGCCCCCTATAAAGGAAGTCAGGCTTAATGTTAAACACAACCAACTCCATCTGTAAGAATCACCAGGCACTGTAGGGACATTTGCGTGCCTCTTTTGTGGGGGTTGGGTCCTTTTATGGTTTTAGACATTGTGGGGACAATGAGATCACCAAGGGGGACTTCAGGTCACTGCTGGTTGGCTTCGTGGATATGGTGGGAGGTTCCGCATGAAAAGCAAAGGCCAGAATGAGTTTCCCTGTGATGAAAGAAGCCACACCCAAGAAGGTAGGTTTTCAGCTGAGATTAGATGGGAAATGAGCACTTGATGCTAGGGAGAGGAGAGGGAGGAGAGGGCTTCATAGCAGGGAGCACAGTGTGAGCGAAAGCCTAAAGGTAGGATGAGAGTGCCATGCACACCAGAGGGACTGGAGAGAGCCACTGGGACTCATGAGGCTGTGCAGAAGCTGTCTGGGAAGTGAGGAGACATTGGCACCTGCACTTACAGCCTTGGGTGTGCTGAGGATCGGTCTCTCTCCTGACTCACCTTCTCACCCCAGGGGCCCTTCTTTCCTGCTCTGTTCCCAGCTCAGTGGTGTTTGGCTCTGTTGTACCCTTCCCTTACTGTTCATTTCATCATACACTTCTCAAGTATTTCATCTCCCCGGAAGTGTGATAAAGTCCCTGAGAACAGGGATTTCGATGGGACAGTGGAGGGACAGTGTCATACCATGTTTGGGGTCAGTGAAAAGAAGGACTCACCTTCTTCTGGCCCCCTCACAGAAACCACCTCATTGGCATGAGTTGCCCCATCTAGGAGGGAGCCTAGCCAAGAACACTGGGGATCCTCCCACTGGAGTACCATCTCAACCCAGCACCTCTTTCTTCTCCTAAAAATGCACGGCCTGGGGAGGTGGCTCAGTGGATAATAGCCCTTTCTCAGTGAGCATGAGGACCTAAGCTTGATTTCCTAGCACCAGTGTAAAAAAGCAGGCATGGCTATGCATGCCTGTAACCCCAGACTGGGGAGTGGAGACAGGCTATCTGGCCCACCAGCCTAGCCCAAACAGGCAGCTTTGAAAGACCCATTCTCAAGGCAGTATAAGTCAAACAACAATATAAAGACATCAATCCTGCTCTGGCCTCTGAATGCCCAAGCACAGACGTGCATACCTGCACACCCTCATTTGCCATGTAACATGTACAGATACACAGACATGGGGTAGGGAATGAAGAAAGAGGAGGAGAAATAATTAAAGATCAGAGGTGGGTGGGGTTTTAGTTAAGGTGGCAGAGCACTTGCTTAGCATTCATCAAGTCCTGGGTTCAGTCACCTGCACTACATAAACCAGGTATACATGCCTATTATGTGTAGGAAGTCAAAGTAGGAGGATTGTTCCAGGTCATCCTCTGCTTTATAGTGAACTTAAAACCATGAATTCCCATCTCAAGGGGTGGGGGTGGAGGACTGAAGAGATAGGCAGGTTCTGGAGCTCACTGGCCAGCCAGTCTGACCAACTTGATGAGGTCCCAGTTTAGTGAAAGACCCTGTTTGAAAAAAAGCAAGGTGGAGAATGGCCAAGGAAGACACTTGATGCTGACTGCTGGTCTTTACACCTGTGTGCATTAGCACACATTGATGTATATACAGAATACATACGCCACACACAAAATCAAAACAAAATTACTAGTTTACATATTAAACACAAATTGTGAAACCATTGTATTGCTGTGAAAGGATACTGGACTGGGATAGAGTACAGTTGTTGGTATAGTGCTTGCCTGTCTAGCATGCATAACTCCCCAGGGTCTGTCCCCAGTATCACATAGAAGCCGATGCAGTAATACATGTATATAATTCTAGCACTCAGGAAGGAGAGTCAGGAGGACCAGAAAGCCAGAGTTATCCTTGGCTAGAAAGCCAGGTCAAGGCCAGACACTATCTCAAAAGGGAAAATAATCTTCAACCCTCGAACTGTCCTCAAATATTTAAAGCAAAACAAAAACAAAACAAAACGAACAAACATGTCATAGACATTGAAACACAGAAAGTGCACCAGGGACATGACCTATCCCCTTTCTGGTTATAAGCAGCCCACCAAAGTGTTCACCATAAACCATTCCCTGAATCCCACTTCTCTGAAAGTTTGTTCATTGGTTTCCCACCGGGTGGGGACATTAGTGTTGAAATGAAGTTGCTGGAACATTCAGACTGTGGTCTATTCCCAAGGCAGATCCTTAAATTAAAAAAATGTATTTTAGTATCCACGTGGCTGAACAAAATAGCCTAGTTAGAAACAGCTGCAAGCAGAGGAAGGCAGCGGTGAGCTGCCAGCTGGGACTGACTAGCAGGCAGCCTCTCCTGGGTGGTTCAGACATGCACAGCTCACATTGTTTGGATGTTTGAGCATCATGCATCCTCTTTCTTGCTGAAACAGTAGGGACAGTTCCCACTGATATGAATGGCTTATACACATCTCAAGCTTCTCTGCCCAAATCCTCACCTTAGGCAGTGTCACTGCAAATACATTCATCGTAGAGCAGGCCACTGTTGCTGGACCTTTCTCCTCAGCTGCAGGATTTGAAGCCTCATGCCTGTGCTCTAAATAGCCACTCCATGCACATCTTTCTCCTGCCACATAGAGATATCCAGTTTATTCAAAGAGGGGGAGCTAACAGGAGACAATTGCTAGGACTTTAATTTGGGTCCTCCCTATACCCTACCCCAACCCTGTGCTGGAAGTATAAGCTGAAGCCGCTCACCCTCTGTGGCCTACTCCTGTGGGTGAGATGGGCCAGTGCTGGTGGGTTGAAAGCACTGCAGCTACTTTTGGGACCAGTTTTGTAGCTTCCTCAGTGCCTGACAAATGGAAAGTATCAAAAAAAGATGATTCACTCAGCACGATTCATGTGGGGTCCCCACTCACCATGACAGGGTGGGGCACATGTTCACACTTGGGTATACCATGTGTGAATCATTCCCAAAGTCAGCCAATTGTGGTAGTAAATGCTGAAGAGGCAGAGGCAGGTGGATGAGTTTGAAGTCAGTCTGAGTTATACCTAGAGTTGGGACAATGACTCATTGAGTAAAGTGCTGGCCAAGCATGTGGATCTAGGTCCTGGTCCCCGGCCTCCACATGAAAAGCCAGGCGTGGCTGGCTTGTGATCCTAGTATTGGAAGAATGGAGATGGAAGATCCCTGGGGCTTGCTGGCCACTCAGTGTAGCTAATGGGTGAGCTGTAGGTTCAGTAAGAGAGCCTGTCTCAAAGCAGAACATAGAGAATGACTGAAAAAGGCAGCAGATTTTAACATCCAGCTTCCATGTGCACATGTACCACATTCACAACCATACATTTACATGCATAGCCAACTCTGTACTCTCTCACACACAAGCACATGCACACACACACACACACACACACACACACACACACGAGAGGGGGGGAGGGAGGGAGAGAGAGAGAGAATATGTAATTTTAAGGGAGAGTGGCTTCCTAACCATGGAAAAGCATGTTCTTGTTGACTGACATAGCTGCCTCCATGTAACTGATACTGGATTGGGACTGGTACAGGGAGCATTCTTTGCTGTTCAGGTGTGAGGTGTCAGTTATTTTATACATTCATTGGTGCCAGGGAGGGAGAGTGGGCTCTGGAGATTCTTCCAACTTCCAACCCATTTAGCCAACAGGAGACACAGCCTGCAGACTGGCCTGGATGAGGACACCCATGCTCAGTGCCTCGTAGTTAGCCTTGCTTTGTTAGTGGCCTTGTCCCTCCATGCAAGCCTGTATCTTGTAGTGGGCAGCCTCCAGCTGCATGTCTTTGGGTTCCAACAGTGCCCTACCTGTACCTGTTTTTTTTTCAGCCTGGGATAATAACAGCATCCTGCTGTCACCAAGCCCTGGTGCCTGGCCTCATGCTGACCCCAGCTGTGCAAATAATCCTCCTTGGCTCCTTCTTCTCTTAACCTGTTAAGTGTGTTCTGCTAGGACCCAATACTGTGCCTAGCTTAGGAGAGGTGTGGCTGGACCCAGTGAGCAGAGATTGTGTGTAATCAGTGGATCAGTGAGTGAGCTGTGTCTTCTCTGTCTCTGTCTGTCTGTCTGTCTGTCTGTCTCTCTCTCTGTGTGTGTGTGTGCGCACACACACGAATGTTCTGTTTGCCTAGGCTCCTGAGTAGCCCTGCCCTTATGAAGCAGCAGGCATTTTAACCTCAGCAGTTGATTACAGAACACACTGTATTAGTGGGCGCTTTAAATGTTCTGTTCTTATATGGGTTTAGCTGTCATGTTTTTTCTCCACCAGGATCATCCAGAACATGGAGTCCTATTTTTGGTTCGAGAACTTCTCAACGTGATTCAGGACTACACCTGGGAGGACAATAGTGATGACAAAATCCGAATCTACACCTCTGTCCTGCACCTGCTGTCTGCTATGAGCCAGGATACCTATCTTTACCACATAGACAAAGGTAGCAGCATCCCAACCAGCCATCCTCTTGCTCTCATTTCATGGACAGCAGCAGGACTGTTTCACTGTCTCTTCTTAGTGTTCGTGTGCACATGGGTTATGTGCACATATTTGTGTGTATGGCCCTGGAGGCCAAACTTGGCTCTGGTGTCTTTCTTAATCATTCTTCACCTTATTTGTTTGAGACAGGGTCTCACAGAATCTGGAGCTCACCTATCTAGCTAATCTGCCTGACTAATGAGCTCCAAAGATTTGCCAGTCTCAGCAGGCCCTCCACAGCCCTGCAGTTGCTAGGATTATAGACCTACTCTGCCATGCCCAGATTTCACACATGGTAGGCAAGCTCTCTGTCAGCCGAGCTACACTTAGCCCAAGAGTCTGTATTCTGGAGCCATTTCCCACCCTCAGCTTATACACACAGCAGCCACGCTGAACAAGTGAGATTCCCCACAGCTACACAGATGAAGTTCCCTTCAGTTAGCTCTCCCTAGCTTGGGTACTCTCTCACCTCCTGAGGTCCCAAAGCCACGTGGAATTAGGACAGAAATGCAAACAAGTAGAATCTCAGTGGGGACACAGTGTTGGCCCTCACAACTCCCTTCTTCCCTGCTGGAACATCAGCGGTCCATAGGCCCAGTCTTTGGCAAGTAGGCACTGCAAATGTGGTGAAGGAGGTGGCTGCTGTGCTCAAAGGATGCCCAGCTGTTATTGATGTAAAGGGACACCATGAGCAAGGCAACTTATAAAAGGAAGGACTTAATTTGGTTAAGTCTGTGACCATCATGGTGAGAAGCATGGCAAAACAGACAGGCATGGCTCTGGACTAGTAGCTAAGAGCTTATATTCTGATCCACAGGCAGGAGGAAGAAAGAAACACACACACACACACACACACACACACACACACACACAGAGAGAGAGAGAGAGAGAGAGAGAGAAAGAGAGAGAGGAGAGAGAGACTTTGCACGGGCTTCTGAAACCTCAAACCTCAGAGCCTATTCCCAGTGACACACCTCCCTCCAGCAAGGCCACACCCCTAACCCTTCTTAAACAGTCTACCAACTGGGAACCAAACATTCAAATATGTGAGCCTATGTGGCTTATTCTTATTCAGAGCACTACAGAGGTCAGTGTTCTATAACATGATGTGTGTGTGTGTGTGTGTGTGTGTGTGTGTGTGTGTGTGTGTTACATGGTTGATAGCCACCCGATATGTCCCCTTCCCTTTGCTCCATTGTTGGGCTAATCAGAGTGAGAATAAGCCCAAACCCAGAGCTTCAGTTGGGAATTTATACCAACAACTATTCTAGCCCCCAGGAGAAATCACTATCTGGTTTTGAGGCTGTCCTGGAACAAGCTCTTGTAGACCAGGCGGGTCTCGAACTCACAGAGATTCTCCTGCCTCTGCCTCTGCCTCAATGCTGGGATTAAAAGCATGCGCCACCACCGTCCTGCTCTTTTCTTTTTTCTTCTCTCTTTCTCTCTCTCTCTTTTTCATTTTGTTTCTTATAAGAGTACCTGCTATCCTTGCCACCATGAGATCCTAGGACCAGGCTGGGGAGAAGGCTCAGGCAGTAAAGGACCTGAGTTCCATCTCCAGAGGTCACATAAAAAGGTAGGCAAGATGGTACATTACTCATTTGTAATCCCAGCACTAGGGAGAAGAAAGAACAGGACCTCTGGGCCTCTCTAACCAGTTCTCTCCAGCCTAATTGTTCAGCGTTGGGCCACTAAGAGATCCTGTCTCAAGGGAGATGGATGGCATTCTTGAGGACGATGCCTGAGGTTGTCCTTTGGCCTCTGTGCTCCCACATACACAAACACCTTAAAAACAAGAGAGGGGCTGGCAAGATGGTTCAGCTGGTGAAAGCTCTTGCCACAGAAGTCCAGCAACCTGAATTCAATCCCTCAAACCCACAACATACGCTCTGTTGCATGTGTCTTCACACTTACCCACACAGTAATAGTAAACAAATAAAAATCACAACAGCCAAGGAACCCCAAGACCAATCCTTGTGACCTACATCACTCACCACCAAGCTAGTGTTAGCCATCATCCCAAAAGTGGTTCAAAGTCAGCTTAGGGGTTATCTGTGGTCAAAGGAGCTGGGGAGCAGGAGGAATGGTTGTTCTATGGGTTCTTAATGTCTGTACCTGCTTCAAGTGGTTCAGAGAAAATAGGAGTGTTCATGTGTAGAGAGAGAGCCTGTGGAGGATGCACACGGTGGCCAGGGTTTATGGGTTGGCAAGTGTGTATGAAAAGCAGCAGGCAGCCACTGTCATGGCACACAGTGGCACACGGGCACACTGTGCAGTTGTTGAGTCTGTGTCAAGAGCAGCAGGTATCCACTGTCATGGGTTTCATTCATTTCTTCTGTACCTCTGGCTGGCTGGAGTGAGCTCTAGGGATCCACCTATCTCTGTCCACTTTTGTCCTTGTACTAAGTTACAGACACATACGACCACACCTGGATTTTTCATGTGGGGATCCAATGTGAGTTTCATTCTTGCATGAGTAGTACTTTACTGATTGAGCCATCTTCTCACTTCCAAAGGGGACTTCTTGTTAGACAAATCTCACCATGTAGCTCTGGCTGGCCTAGAAATCACTATGTAGAGAGACCAGACTGGCCTCACAATCACAGAAACCCATAAAGGGTCATTTCTTAGAGTTCCAGTGCATGGTTTTCTTGCTCTTTGAAAGTGTCTCTTGAACACCTTCCTATTCCTATAGACACTGTTTCTGTGTAGTCACTGAGAGATTGTGACATACCCCAGAATAGGACCATCTATGCCACCACCCCTTCATCTGTAAGTGGACCCTTTATTCCTTTTGTTCATTGGAGGCCCTTCTGTGTTTCCTATGGATATTGTCTCCTCTGAACTGTGGGTGAGATGAGATCCTTCCCAGTTGTTCCTTCGAGAAGGTAACATAAGGGTACTAGGAAGCACAACTGCATCCCAGCAGATAAACTGGGAGCTTATTAGCATCCTCTCTAAACAGGACTATATTACTGCTCTGTGCCCCATGAGGGCTGGGTGCGATAACCTGACTTACCAGATACAACTTATTTCCCTTTTCCTGGAATTGGTCTCTGCTTCCTGTTACCTAGGCACTTGGCCTAATGACACTGCACCCAGCCACGAGGAAGGACGTAGGTATTGGGCACTGGGATGGAAGAAGCTAAAGGATTAGTTGAGAGAATGGGGATAGAAGCCTGTGTAAGCATGCAGGGAAGGAATGAGCTCTGAAAGGCAGAAACTGTGTTTTCTTTGTTTGGGAAGGCTGGTGCTAGTAAACAAAAGAGGAGAACTGGAGATGGTTCATTTGGTGAAGCACTTGCCACTCATGCATGAGGACCTCCAGGGATAAAAAGACAGGTGACCCCTAAGGCTTACTGGCCAGCCAGCCTGGACTAATGAGTGACTTGTGACTTCCAAGCCACTAAGAGACCTGATTCTAAGAAAAAAAAAGGTAAACAGCTCCTGAGAAGTTACATTTGAGATTGATTGCTGGCCTACGAACACATGCGCACATGTACTGAGAGAGAGAGAGAGAGAGAGAGAGAGAGAGAGAGAGAGAGAGAGAGAGAGAGAGAGAGAGAGAACAGTGCAGCTTAGTGTTGGAGCTCTACCTGCCATTCCGGAAGCCTTGGGTTCCACCCCCAGCCCTGCAGAATCAAAAACAAACAGCCCATGTGTTCACAGCAGAGACAAACTGAACTGTTCTGGGCTCTTGTGCAGGGAGTGGGATGAGGTCAGTTTTTACAGGCAAAGCCACAGACCTGTCCTCTGATAAGCAGATTGCCTGAGTTTATCAATTAAGTGAAAATATCCACAACAGACTACATGGTGTCTTCCCTACCCAGCAGGAGCCAGGCTGGAAGGAAGAGGAAGCCATAGCAAGCCATCCTTGGCTGAACTGGTCTTTTCTCTAGGCAGTAGATGTCATAGGAGTTGGCTAAGCAGTGTCATTGTTAAAAAAGCTGGACATGGTGGCTCACACCTTTAGTTCCAGCACTTGGGAGGCTGAAGCAGGATTGCCATGAGTTAGAGGCCAGACTCGGTCACAGAGTAATTTCCAGGCCAGCTTGAACTATAGAATGAGATGATGTTTTAGAGAGGAAGGAGACACTGTCAGGCATAGAAGCCATGGGATAAATGGACTGTGGAATGTGATAGCAGGCATGGGTTCCATCTTGTGGAGCAGGCTTTAATCAGAAGGTGGCTAATTGGTCCCATGGCATTCATGCCACTGTTGGCACTATTAGGAATATCAGCCATTACTGTAGCATGCAGGGGTCACATCTGGATAAGATGGTTGAACTTGTCTTCCCTAGGGCTGGCAGCTAGGTGCAGTGGGTAAGAATGTGGGCTTTGGAATAAGGCTACCCAGTTTAACATCCTAGCTAGACCTGTGTCTTTGTCTCAGTTTCCCCACTCATTGAAGATGTGGATGCCAATTCTTTCTTGTGCTCGTTATGTGGGCCCTTATATAACACAGAGAGAGACTGCTTGCCACAGTGCCTGGCAGCTGGAGAGGGTCACTGTGATTATTGTTGTCCCCTCCAGGTGTGGCCAGTTCGGGGGATGACTTCCACAGTGCTGGCCTCAGGCCCAGACTTGGCCTCAGGCTAGGTGTTTTCTTAGTGAATCCTACAGCCAGTGGGTCACCTTGGCCATTCCCATACTCCCTGCCAGGCCTTCCTGCCATCTGCCAGTCCCATGTGACATGCTGCTCTTGTTTGTTTAACCAGTTGACTCCAATGACAGCCTGTACGGGGGCGACTCCAAGTTCCTGGCTGAGAACAGCAAGCTATGTGAGGCGGTCATGGCTCAGATCCTGGAGCACCTGAAAACCCTGGCCAAGGACGAGGTGGGTACCTGCCCTCACCAGCTGCCACATGCTCTGGAGGCAGCACTGCAGGGCGGGAGCAACACAGGGCACTTACACAGTGCTCTATTGTGGAAGGCAAACAAATCTGGCTGAATCATGGTTCCAAGGCTCAGACTTGACTTTTTCTGCTTGCATGATGCTTCCCCAATACCCAAATTTCAGCTCATGCCAGCCTCTGGTACCCACAAGTCTGCTCTCAACTTGCAAGACCCCCCCCCCCAAATATGATGTATCAATTAGAAACAAATAAAAAAGGCTGGGCACACACATACCTGTAATCTAGCATTCAGAGGCTAAAACAGTATGATCATTGGTTATGTATCAAGACCCCATCTCAAACATTGGCCTAGAGATACAGCTCAGTTTTCAGAGTGCTAGCCCAGCATGCACAAAGCCCTGGGTTTAATCCTCAGCATAGCATAAAACAGTGTGGTGTGGACACCTGTGATCCCAGTATTTGTTGGGGGAGGATGAAGCGAGAAGATGAAGAGTTCAAGGTCATCTTTTGAGAATTTGAGGTCAGCCTAAGCTATCTGAGGCTGTGTCTAAAAGAAATAGAGGCTTGCTGGGCATAGGTTTTGAGGTTGGGTATCTTCTTTGACCTGGGGCTTGCCAATACTGCTAAGCTGGCTGACCAGTGAGACCCAGGGATTCTCTTTGCTGGAATCACAAGTGTGTGTCACCACATATGTTTTTATATGAGTGCTGGGGATCCAGCTGAGGTCTTTGTGCTCACATAAAGCCCTTTACTAATGTGTCCTCAGCTCAGCCTTGTTGGCCTTTCTTTACCATCTTTCCCTGCTTGTCTCCGACTCAGCCTTTGAAGGCTCCATCACTAGATTGAGCCTACCCAGACACCTCATTTCCATCTGCAATATTACTTTTCAGCATTACCAGCATAATGTACTAATGTACAAGAAACCAGAGGATGGAGTATTGGAAAAGTTATTGAAGGCTGTGTATCCAGCATAGGTTGTGAATGTGCTTGCCACAGAGATGGGAAGTGCGGAGCAAAGGTGCTAGCATACGCTAAGTACTCAGTATCCTTTAGCTGCCGTGAGGTAGAGCAGGCACACATGACCTGCACTGTTTGGTAGGGCTGCCAGGCTTTTGTAGCAAAGGCCCTGGGATTTCAGAGCTCTACGTGGCAATGGCCAGCATCCAGTGATTCCATGGGCATCCTGAAACAACAGGTGCGCCCACCTAGATGTAGTTTTCTGTGTCCATTGTTTCCCCCAAGAAAGTGTCCTTTCACCTGAGCTGTCACTGCACTGTTATTTTTTCCACTGTCTCTGCCATTCAAAGCTGGTCACATGTTTAAATGTTTCTTTGGTGAGGTGTCTCAGAGATCACCCAACAAAACAAGATTCCTGAAAGGCTTGGTGTTACAGGGTTAGGAGGTCCTCCCTCCCTCCCTCCCTCCTCCCTCCTGCCTCCCTCTCTCCCTCCCTTTCCTTTTTGGAGACAGGGTCTCTAATCAGTCTGGCCTCCAACTTCCTCTGGAGCTGGGGATGACTTGAGACTGGTCTTTCTACCTCTACCTGCCTACAGTCTGGCCTCCAACTTCCTCTGGAGCTGGGGATGACTTGAGACTGGTCTTTCTACCTCTACCTGCCTACAGCTGGAATTAGGCAGGCATACCATGCCTTGCAGTAGGTGCTTCTGGGCCCTAATTCTGCTCAGTCAGTTAGGATCAGCAATAGTAACCACAGCTTTCAGAAGCCTGAGCCACAGCTGAGAGCCATGTGGAAGCCTTCCAGCCTGACTTGTGCTTGAAGCACAGCCTTCTGCTGTTGTCAGGGTTGACCTGTCAGTGACTGTTGGGTCTCTCCTAACCAGTGACAGCCTGTATGAAGCTCAGAGCTTATGGTGCCTCTGCCCTCATTCACTCCATGTGTGTTGTGGATCTTACTTATTTTACAGGTGTAGGGTAGGCTCAGCAAACACATGGCAAAGTTGGCATTTGGACCCATGACCACTCTACTACCAAGGGCATCTACACTGAGCCCATCCAATGTGCCAGGGCAAGGTCATATCCTCTTTTCTCTCTTCCAGGCCCTGAAGCGACAGAGCTTGCTGGGCCTCTCCTTCTTCAATAGCATCCTAGCCCATGGGGACCTTCGTAACAATAAGCTGAACCAACTCTCCGTCAACCTGTGGCACCTGGCACAGAGGCACGGCTGTGCAGACACAAGGACCATGGTAAGCATCAGGGCCCTTGCCAGCCAGAGTGGCGCTGACCTTGACTTAGCATCAGCAGCACATGCTGCTGTCACCCCTGAGATGGGTGCCAGACCCCAAAATTCTTTCAGGTGACTCTAGTACTAGACAGCATTCCCAGTCACTTCCTTTCAGTAAAAAGTACTTGCTTGGAAATGTCACCCACTTCTGGCCACAGCCAAGTCTGATTCTCTTCCTCAGAGACAAAGTGTTAGGTAGCCCAGACTATCCTTCAACTTGCCACATAGCCAAAGAGGACCTTGAACTTCTGAACCTCCTGTCTTGCCTCTGCCTAGTTTTTGTGATGCTGGGGAGCAAACCCAGGACTTTGTGCATGTAAGCACTCTGCCAACTGAGCTGTCCCCAGATCTGAGTCTAATTTTAGAAGTTACAATCTTTACATTTTGCTCTTCCATCATCCTTCAGGAGACACCCCATTTTCAGCTAGGCAGGGTAAGCTCACTTAGGGCCAGTTCAGAAGAGGCTTCAGCCCCCAGGTCAGAGCCATGAAACCAAATTCAACATGGAGCTGTTTCCTAGGTGAAGACTCTGGACTACATCAAGAAGCACAGCAAGCAACCTGGCATGAGTCACCTGACAGAGCTGGCCCTGAGGCTCCCTCTGCAAACCAGGACCTGAGTACTTGCCTTGGGGCCCCAGTGCCACTGTCCGGAAGACCTGCTTACCCTGCCATTAACTCCTCCTGGAATTTAGTTTTTATTTTTCCTTTTGTACAGGTTGATTTAAAGCTTTTGCCTTCTGACTATTCTGACAGCAGAGGGGCAATTGACAGCATTAAAACCCAATCTTGTTCTTCATATAGCAGTGTATTAGTGCATGTTTGCACAAGAGCATTGTGGGATGTTTGTATACTGTATGAAGATGTATCGCCATGGTGGTATAATAAAGAGCCGAATGGCCAATAGCTAGGCAGGAAGAGATTAGGTGGGACTTCTGGGGACAGAAAGGGTTCTGGGAAGAAATGGGCCATACAGAGATTAATATAAATGGGTTAATTTAAGTTATAAGAGCTAGTTGGGGAAAGCCTAAGCTCAGGCCAAACTTTCATAATTAAGTTTCATAAACAAGTCTCCATGTTATTTGTGAGCTAGTGGCACAAAGAAAACTCCCCCTTTTCCTGGAGGGAAAGGGGCTCCCAGTTGTACATACCACCTTTATGTTAGAGACAGTGTTCTACAAAACACCTTGAAGGACTAATAAATGTCAGATTGCCGCCAGTTGACTCCTTTCTGACTACAAGTAGCATAGTTGGGCTTTAGAATACAGGAGAAAGAAAGGTCACATTTGGGGCTCAGTAGCAATGTCCTCTAACTGGTCAGGCATGGGGTGTCCATCAGTAATCCCAGCATTTCAGAGGATGTCATGAGTTTGAAGCCAGCCTGGCTATAGACACTCTACAGTGCCTTTACTGTAATTGAGCAAATGTCCTGACTGACCCAACTGTGCTCCAGGTGCTAGCTGATCACTTCTGGCTTCTCCTGGAGCATGTGTAGACCCACCCACTGCTGGGTACTATGGCAGTGCTTCTCAGTGAGTTTATGACTGCCCTTGATGGCTGGTAGCTTTGGGCTATACTTCACTGTCATTGGCCAGTAGCACTGATTGCTGCTGATTCACAACCTAGAACCTACAGCCTGTGAAAATGAAGTCAAGTTTTGGCTCAGCTGTGCTCCAGGTTAGCCTGTCCACTATGTTGGCACACACTTCAAGTCCCATCTACTTGGGAGGCTGAGGCAGGATTGCTTGGAGCTAGTCTGGGAAAAATAACATACACTCAAAATTATTTGTGCTTTAGCATGGATTTTATTAATCATTACTCCAAAACACTATATAAGACTAACCTCAGAAAGTAGAAATTAAAAATTATTTATATATAAACTCATGCTTACTCATATGAAACCAGAGTTTCTGTTGTATATTTGAGACCAATCGGATGACAGTTCCCATCACCCCAAGGAATTGAGAAAATTGTCTTTAAAGGAAAAAAAAAAAAAAAATCAACCAAATAGCAGATGAGGCTGAGAATGTGGCTCAAGTGATAGGATGCTTGCCTGGCATCCACAAGGCTCTCATAAACCGAGTGTGGTGGTACAGGCCTGTAATCCCAGTACTCAGGAGGTAGAGACAAGAGGATCAAGAGTTCAAGGCCCTCAGTTACATGTTTGAGACAGTCTGGGATAAATGAGCCAGTCTCAATAAAACAAAAATAAAAATAGATACTGAAAGCCTCTTCTACTGTAAACAAAACCAGTACCCAGAAAGCACTTTTTATCATCCTCAAGGCTGCCCACATTGGACAGCATAAGCTCCCAAAATTGGCCCAGAGAATTCCCAGTGCTCCCGTGTTAACCTCAGTTTAGGCTTATATTATGTACACACACCACAGAGCCTCTGAATCTTGTTGCCAACCTGGGCAGAAGTGTGGACTGGAGCAGCTTCCCTCACCTGTTACTTGGCAGGCTGTTCTCTGAAAACCCATCTAGATGGAATGGCATCTGCTCCCATTAGGAAGGACATATGAGGAGACTTTTAGGAAATGAGTAACGGGACACTTCATGTCCTTAGTTCTGGTTCTTGCTACTTTAACAAATTACATGCATAATGGCTTCTTGTGGTTTTTGCCATCCGACAATGGTTTTGTGACAATTCACTGGTCCCTCTGGGCCTTTTCCTTCTCAACTGGCTGCCCATGGCTTTCAAGTTTCTTCCACACTAACTCTTCTGCCACCTTCCAGTTAAGGGATTTTGTGAAGATCTAGGCCTTATTTCAAATTCATCTGACTAGCAACCTTAATTCCCTTCAGACAAGGATATGGGCGGGTTCTGTCTGCTACAACCTGAGTAGCACAAAGCTTGCAGAGCTGAGTCAGACCTTCCTTTAGGGGACAACAGTGGCTACTTGGGATACTTCTGACTGGTCAGTCAGGGTGTGGTCAGGGCAGGACCTCACGGACTCAAGTGGACTGTGCAGAAATCAGCTCAGAACAAAGTGGTAGGAACTGTGACATGTGGGTGACTATGGACAAGGATATTGCTATACAGCACCAGTAAGTGGTGAGAAATGCCTGAGAGAGAAACAGCCAAGTTCAAGGTCTGTGTTGGGTCACTGACCTCCCACTTCCACATGGAGACATCAAGCAGAAGGTAAGTTCTGGGAAGGTACAAGACATGGAGAGAGGGGGGTAGGGTGGCTCAAGCCAATAAGTAGGACCAGTAGGACAGAAGCCTAGTTAACAGAACCACAGCCATTTAGTGTCCACACCTGTGAGCAGCAGAGACAAGGCTGGATTCTGAGGAGGCCCTACAGCCTTCTTTGCTCACAGACTCCAATTCTACTTATAGAGGAAGGTGAGCAAATGGAGTGCCTAAGCCAGTGCTGAGACACCACGCTTCAAATTCAAGTCCTTCAGCACTGAGACATGTCACAGATAAGAAAAAGATCTGGCTCTCACTCTTGGAATGTCAGTTACCAAGGTGTACATGGCATGAGATGACAACCCATCTATCCTCTTCCACATAGACATCATGACCCACAGGTTAAGAAACACTGGTCTAGAGGTTGGCTTAAATTCAGAATTCTGCCCCCTGAGAATGAAGGTGGCTCTTTTTTTGTATCTTCAGGGTGAATCTGAGGGAAGAGGCTTAAACAGGTTTTGCTAGCAGACATACTTGTACAGGGTTAGACGCAGTTGCTCAGGCAGTCCCACCACTGCTGGCTACATGGCAGCATGGAATACCTCAACCTCTCCCTGGCCCGAGGAACATCTCCCTTACCAAAGGGACCACACAGGACCAAACACACAGAACTGAATAAGGCATAAAAATATTCTCTAAGAGGCTGCTGGAAGTTTCTTTGGCAGTGAAAAGGGTTTTCTCCCAACTCTGGGAAACTGGGGTATTTGCAGCCTGGCATTGCTTCTGCCATCTTCCCACCAGTTCAGTTAAACAAATGCTGAGGATGGAGCTGGAAGGATAAATGTCCTGGATGAGTGCACCATCAATCCCTCCAATCCCTAACCCCGACTCGTATTTCTGCTCATGGGAGACCAGGCTTGCAATGGGATGTCTGGGTGAGGTGCCAGGCCAAGTAATAGGAAAATGTCCTTTGTGAACTTCGATGCCAGACTGCCAAAGGTTGATAGAAGAGAAAGTCATGTCATACAGATAGATCTTTGAATCTAGAGCTTGCTGTGTAGTTCAGGGTGGGGATGGTGCCTGCAGATGAAGCACCTTATTCTCTAGTCCTTCTTACATCTGACTTCACACAAGTTGTCCAGGGTGTCTCCTTTGTGAACTCACTGCTGAGGATCTCACATGGGTCCATATGCAGGATTATCTGCTGTCCAAATGCCTTGAGATCCAATAAATGCACAGAAACATCAAATGTGAGCACAGTACTCAGGTGGAAGGATGACAGCTGGGAAGCAGGCAGCTCAGAGGTGTTGTCTCCCACAGAGAAGCTTGACCACATCTGCCTGGTGCACCTCGCCTGCCTCCTGATGAGAAGGAAAGGAGACAAACTTGGTCCTTATGGAAGGCATGGCACAACAGTTGCTTTTTCTATTCACTGATCAAGTGATGCAGGGTGATGTACTCACTCTTGATGGCACTTAATGCAAGGTGACCCTGGGTAATTTATTACTTTATCCCTGAACTTAAATTGCAGCATCCATAAAATGGAGATGAGAGTAGCACCTATTCCATAATTAGGTTTAAATACATCAATACAAAGAAAACACTTTAGTCAGGGCCCTGCACAAGTCAACAACTGATAGCTATTATTACTTAAAATACTTTCACCCAAAGAGAGGTGGAAAGTTTAATATAGAAAATACGTTTTAGACACTAATACTGGCTCCTGACACACAAGCAGCTTTCACCAGCTTGTTCAAAACTCATCATGAGTGGTCCTCAGTATCTGCAGGTGCCTGATTCAAGCCAATTTGGCAGATGCAAAACTGACCAAGAAATGGAGTTTGAGGATCAGGACAATAAAGTTTAATCTTGCAACTTGATAGACTTGGAGGCGTTCCGGTCAATGTAGAAGACCTTGCTGCGGGACTCAGAGGAGAAGCCCAGGCCAGCCCCATGACTGTACTTCCAGCTCATGGCCCTGTCATAGTCCTGCTGCAGGTTCTGCTGGAGCATGTCTGAAGACTTCTTGTCCAGGGCCATGTTGGACCTGTCAGTCATGCTGGGAGGGCGGCTGAATGATGGGGACAGATGTTTAAAGCCACCCATAAGCTTCAGAAATTTCAGCTTCTGTTCTTCATTTTCAAAGCCAGCGGTGTCCCACTGGCCAAATTGGGTTCCCTAAGTAGAGAGTAAAATGTTGTCATCGCCTTTGAAGACAAACGCTTCCCTCACTCTCAGCCAAGCAATGGACTGTTTCATTCATCTAAAGCTTCACGGGATGACATTGGAAGTCAAGAGGACTCCCAGTGAATGACAATGACCACCCTGAGAGCCCATCATTGACTTCTAACAAGTGCATCACTGCACTCCAAGTTAGTTCAAGCTTTACTTTCTCTCAACAAATGGTGACATCAAGAAACTTCACCTCACTCCATACATCACACACCATACCTCAAAACACAAGCACATCTTACCTGACTTTGTAACACATTTTAACCTTTCTGTAGTCCAACTTGTGTTTTGCGTGTGTGTTCATATACAATGTATGTTCACATGTGTGGAGGTCAGAGGACAACCTCAGGGGTTGGTCCTTGTCTACCACCTTATTTGAGACAAGATCGCAATTGATTTTTCTGTTGCACATGCTTGGATGGCCGAGCTTCCAGAGATCCTCCTGTATAGCCTGTGATCCCAATAAACTAATTTACTCAGCAAGTTTGACTTTGATGGTATCATTACTTTGGTGTGACATCAGTTCCTATATGGGATAAGTAGAAGTTTGGCTGTACATCCATAGATCTGTGTCATACAACAGACTCCTAGCACCTCACAGGAGTGCTGGGATCACAGACACTTGTGCTGTATGTCTGGCTTTCATGGGGATTGAAACTTAGATCTTCATGCTTGCTTGAGTGGTAAGTGCTTTAAGCACCAAGTAACCTCCCTCACCCTTTTCCTCACCTTCCTGCAGCACAGAGCACATCTCCCTCCCCTCAGCCTCAACATAGCAAAGCTGCCTCACAACACAGCACACACAAGCCAGGTACTCCTGACAACAGGAGTAGAGTCAAGGAACCAGAGGTGCTGCATTTATCACCAGTATACAGATGCCCCTTGTGCTAGAAAATATGAGCAGTCTCCAAGACCCACTCCACCCCGTAAGGTCTGTAAAAAGGACAGGAAGCCCAGGTCCCAAAGACTGTGACGCTGAATTATGCAACTTGGGATGGAGCCCCACTTCTATGGCTGATCAAGTAATAACCACTCTCCCTGAGCCTCAAAGTCATCCTCCAATGGGCTAACACCCTCACACAGCATGGAGAGAACTGAGTCAGACTTTATGCCAAAGCCCCAGCATATCTTAGTTCACTTCTCACCACTTGACTTCTGACCTCCACATGGCCTGGGAGCCAAATGCCAGCTTAGCACTCATTTCTAGGTTGGTGTTGGGGGAACAATCAGAACAGATGTCACCACAACTGTCCTAGACGAACTGGTGACATTCTCTTAGCCTCATGTGACCCACATAAGTGTGGCTTCCTAGGAAGCAGTTTCTAAGGCAGATGCTGCCTGTGACACCAGTTAGATCTAAGCCAATAACCTGGCAAGCTGGTTCTTCTAGGACTGCTGGTCCTGTCAGTCTGGAATCCCCACCAAAGCAATGGAATTTCCATAAGTGGGTAACCAAGGTCCTATAAGGCAAGGATACCCAGCTGGCCTCAGGACCAGCAGGCAGCCAGATTACTAAAGGATGGTGCCCAGAGCACTGGTTGAATGATGTGACCGTGTCTCTTGGTCTACTTATTCAACCTGCTGTACTATCAGCTCTGCTCAGCTTAAGAGTTGAGAGAGAAAGAAGATACCTAATAAAACTCCAGGGCTGGAGATGTGGCTCAGTTGGTAAAGTGCTTACCTAGCATGCACAAAGCCCTGGGTTCTATCTCTGGCAATGTATAAACCAGGTCTAGTATGCATACATGGAATCACAGTAGTTGGGAGGTACTGGCAGGATTAGTTTAAGCAGTTCATGTTTGCCTACACAGTGAGTATGAGAGGCTACTTGAAACCCTATCTAAACGACAAAAAAAAAAAAAAAAAAAAACTATTCCATCCCCTGGCCTGGGGCCATAAGAAGAGCCCCATTTCATAGGAATGGAAGCTTCTCCAATGAGAAGACACTAGAGAGTGGCAGTCAGTAACTGGCCTCAGGCCTTCTATCCAAATCAATGCTATCTGTTAAGCAGGAGGCTAAGTACAGAGCAGGCAGACTGGCCCTCCCCAAGGATAGCCCTTTCCTTTCCCCAACCCTCCAAATTCACTCCAGTACCAAGTTCATGGCCAGGCCTCCCAAACACATTATAAAATTTTCTATTCTACCTCCTAATCCCCTTCCTATACTTACACTCTACAGTGGCTCCCTTAGGTCACTTGCCCAGTAGAAATGTCCCTGTGGTCCTAGAGTCGACTGCTGTAGTTCCTGCTACCCTGTCACCAGCCTGCCTGCTACCCTGTCACCAGCCTGAGTCCATTCTCACTTTTGGGCCCTGCACTTGTCACTACCCTGCATGCTAAGGACTGGTACCACCACACTCAGGGTCTTAGGATAGGTGTCACCTGCCCTGAGAAGCCTCACTTCTAATCACCTAGTACAGCGTATCACCGCCGACAGTCAATCCCTCCAGGCCCTAGACCAGTGGTTTTCAACCTTCATAATACTATGGCCCTTTAACAAAGTTCCTCATGTTAAGATGACCCCCCCCCCAACCATAAAATTATTTTCGTTACTACATAAATAATTTTGCTACTGTTATGAGTTGTAATACAAATATCTATGTTTTCCAAAGGACTTAGGCAACTCCTGTGAAAGGGTCATTTGACCCCCAGGGGGGTTGTGATCCACAGGTTGAGAGCCACTGTACCAGACAGACTAAGATGATGAGGGTCCTGTGTATCTCCACACCCCACACAGTTCGAGCATAGGGTGGATGCCTAGGGGCTGAGGTTAGGCAGCTGACCGAGGGCAGAAAGGTGGTGCTATGGTCAGGCCCAACAACCTATGTGGCTAAGTCCATAGCTCTCATATCTCCCACCTGGCCTATTTTCTCAGGAAAGGTCTTAGGACTTGGAAAAGACTTACAGATCTAGAGTCTTAAGAGGCCTTCCACGCTTCCTGCATGCTCCAAGCAACCCTCTATGGGCACTTCTCATAGCTACAAAGAGCTGTGATTAGTCTACAGGTCACCCCATCATCCACAATGAAGTCTAGGTGGAACATCTCCAGCTTCCTAGCAGGAGACCAGGACTTCTTTAGAGGAAGTGAAGTTGGCTCAGACCAATTCTGTGCATGTCCACCTTAGATTTTGGATGTCAAGCCCACCACAGCAAACCCACCGTCCACTTCTTGGGTTCTGAAGCCTCTGTCTTGCCCGACTCACGGTCAATCTCTTCTTGCAAGGCCTTCCGCCTCACCTATGCAAGGACAAATGAAGAGGGTAATGAGACCCAGAATATTAATGCTTTCTATAAATAAGGCAGAAACAAGGTGGAATCCCAGCAATGCTAACCCACTGTGCAGCCTTGTAAAACTGACCTAACCTTTCTGATCAATGAATTATTTATCTGCAGAAGCTGAAAAGCTCTAGAAGCTTGTGGTCATGGAAGAAGCAGAAGCTTTGTAGCAGAACACTGGGCATTCCCAGGCTAGGCCAGCTAAAGGTCTCTCAGCGGCCCATAGTGTAATGGGCACTCCCGGGCTAGGCCTGCTCAGGGTCTCTGCCAGCACTCCAGCAGCCCACAGTACAGCCAAGAGACAGGACCTAGGAGAATGGAAGCCCCATGGTCGGCCCCTCTGCATGCTGTCCTGGGCCTCTATAGCATTCCTGGCCCTGCAGGGAGGTTAGAAACTGCCTGGAGGCCAGAGGTCCAGGCCTAACCTGGAGAGAGGCTCTAGTAACATCACTCTTCTGGTTCTTCGCTTAGCCACAACATGCATCACTGTCTCCAAGTGTAGCTCCCCCACACCCACTGCATTACAGCAGGTTTGGCACATCACTGTCTCTTCTGGGTGGTCCTCCTCAGGCCCTACCTATTATAAATAGAGCCTCCACCTTCCTTTCTCTCCTAAAGTGAAGATGAGGACCTTTGAGGCAGGATTATCCAATCTGTTTACAGTGCTGTCTCAGCAGGCACCATGGGGACCAGCTGCATCTATCTGGACTTCTGACCCCTTTCAAAACACCCTCCCCTTGGTCTCTACAGCTACCTGTAAAGACCCATGCTGATTCACAGAAGAGAGGGGTTGGCAGCCAGTGAACCATGGACTAACACCAGGCCCCCACTGATGGGAGATGTCATTCTGTAAATATGTTTCTCTTATTGGTTAATGAATAAAGCACTGTTGGCCAATAGGAAAGCAAGATAGGCAGGACTAGGAAACTAGGAGGAGAGAGGAAGTAGGAGGGAGGAGATTCAAGATGGTGGACTGACAGAGAGAATGCCAGCCTCTCTCTCTGGTAAAATGAGACCATGTGGAAGTACTTAGATTAATAGAAATGGGATAATATTTAAGACAGAGCTAGCCGATAAGAAACTAGTAACTGGCCAACAGAATTATATCTAATACAGAGTCTCTGTGTGATATTTGGGGCTGGAGTGGCTATGGGACCAGACCGGTGGGAAAAACCTACATAACATAATGGCACCTTCAACATGGCTAATAAGAACTTCCACTTACAGCTTAAGAAAAGCTTAAGAAAGGATTTTAGAAACAAAAGAACAAAGACAAGCAAGACTTCTTGGTAGCAGCATTTTTCTTGGTTGAACCTGTTTTGCTAGAGCAGAGACTTGTGCGGCTCCTTTAAGGGAGATTTCCTGACTCAGCATAAGTGGCAAAAAACCCCCAACCAACCAACCAAACAAACAAAAAAACCCAGCAATGATGTGAATAAGAGCTGGCAGTGGCAGTAACCACATCTCTAAGCTGGCAACATGTTGCAGCGTAGACCAAGGCAGTGAGCATAGCTCTCAGTTCTGGCGGTAAAAGTACCCGCTGCCATCTTTGATAGACTGAGGCTAACATAGCTATGACTTTCATTTTAGCAATGTTGTTGTTTACCAGATAAAAGACTCATGGCCACAAAAGGATAAAAGATTTAGAGTAAAGACAGATCACATTAAGAAAAACCTCTAAAGGTTTACGGTGTGTTTTAAAATATACGTAGGCTTGGGAGAGAAAAAGAAACAAGATAAAGTGATTAAAAAAAAAATAGAAAGAAAGAGAGTAGCTGGGTGTGATGGCATGTGCCTTTAATTCCAGCACTGGCAGACAGAGGCAAGAAGATCTCTGTGATTTCAAAGTAAACCTGGTATACAGAGTTAATTCCAGGACAGATAAAAGTTACACAGAGAAACCCTGTCTCAAAAATGAATTAAAAAAAAAAAAAATAGAGGAATAAAGCCCCATAAAGATGGAAAGCACAAAAAGAGTGTGGATACTATATGCTGTTCTGATATCTTTATATTATTTGACTGCTGAGGAAATAGCAACAACTGTCAAAAGAAATGCTGCTGGATTAATTCAATTTATATATTTTAAAAATGCTTTGACTCCAAAATTGAAGTCTAAGGACAGGTTACTGGGGAAAAGGATTTCTATTTTTGTTTCCACAGACTATTTTTGTTTCCTTCCAGACTAATGTGGTTTGATCAAGCCAGATCCCCTGAAACAGCATCCCAGGTGATCCAACAGTCAAAACAGTTGGGAAGAGGCAGCCTTGCAGACTACTATAGCCAGTATAGCCAGGATTTCTGCATCTTCTTAGGATCCCCATGACAGCGCCCCCTATCAGTAGGAAGCAGTTTGGAAAAAATGATGCCCAAATTCCCAAATGCTGTCTGTTTTCATTTAAATGGGGTTGATTATAAATAGTTAATGACCACAACCAATCTTCTTAAAGGTAAAAAGGGAATTATGGTATAGATATGAATACTTTGTTTTGGAATGGATTTTCAGTTATTGATACAAATTTAAGGTCAATTTTGTGATATGTATATTTCTCCTGTTTTATATAGCTCATTAAAATGTATAATTTAGTACAGATTATAGATCTATAATAGTCAAAACTTAGAGTAAAGTTAGTTAGGTTTTCAAGATGTATTTAAAATGTATTTGAGATAAATAGGCATTCTTCAAACCTTTCAAAGACCTACAGAATATTAAATACAGGCATTTAAAATGGTTTAGGATTTTTCTTGACAATGAGGCACAACTGCTCCTGGCAACACCAACTGTGTCAGAAAGGAAGATGGACATCAAAGAAACTCGTTATGGAGTTTGCTTCCAATGTGGCAAGACTAGCCATTTGGGCAAGATACTGCTTTTTTCTGGATTGTTTGACTTTATGCTGTATAAACTGGACATGCAGGACCCACAGAAAAGTGACTGCTGATACAAGATGGACATTGCTATAGGGTTCCTGCTTCATGGAAGAAGAGTCTGCTAGACATTCTGCAGGACACAGAAAAAAGTGACTGACAAACTGCCAATCAGATGGACAGTTTAAAGTTTCCTGCTTTGCTTGAGGAGTCTGTCAGACACACATGGCCTATAGGAACATTACAGAAGAACTTTGGGTGACTGACCAGGTGAGTTGTCTCTGTCATTTCTAGAGTTTATATATTCTTCTTCTGTGGTCTTTGATGGAGTTGAAGACAGTTATGGTTATAGTTTTCCTTAGTTAGGATTCAAGATAAGTTACATATAGGACTTTAGACTCACAAAGATAGGATAGATGATGAAATATTTTCTTTAAATCTTGCTAAATGTTAATGGACTAAATATTGTTAACTTGGTTCTTATTTGATAACTGTCTTGTTATATATTTTGCTATGTTAAGGTTAAAACCCTTCTTTTTATTTAGACAGAAAAGAGATGATGGGAGATTTCATTCTGTAAATATGTTTCTATTATTGGTTAATGAATAAAGCATCATTGGCCAATAGGAAAGCAAGATAGGTGGGACGAGGAGACTAGGAAGAGAGAGGAGGTAGTAGGGAGGAGATCCAAGATGGAGGACGGAGATCAGAATGCCAGCCCCTCTCTCCGGTAAGATAAGACCACATGGATGTACTTAGATTGATAGAAATGGGTTAATATTTAAGACAGAGCTAGCCCATAAGAAATTAGTAACTGGACAACAGAATTATATCAAATACAGAGTCTCAGTGTATTTTTTGGGGCTGGTGAGGCGGTGGATCCAGACTGGTAAGGAAAAACAACTCATAACACCCCACAGCTCCTAAGTCCTGCCATGCCCTAGGGTCAAGAAACATAAAAACATCCCATCTCCACAAAAATCTAAATCTCACACAGGAATCTGTGCATCACAGACTGGAAACTAGTCTCTAAGATCTCTCTCTCTCTCTCTCTCTCTCTCTCTCTCAAACTCCTCCTTAGTGGAGACATCCCATAGGTGTGGCTGGGCACATGTACCTACTCTAGCTACAGGGTCATAGGATCCCATTGTTCTGACACCTTGCAATGGTCTACATGGGAGAGCCTGTCAGAAATAATCACAGCAGCCAGAGGTGCAGGAGGTGTGCCATGGAATTGGCCAAGAGGCCTCGGGAGACCCTAGTCCCTCTGAGTCCAGGAATTTATGGCCTGATGAGCGCTGAAGGTTCCCAGGAGTGACAAGAGGCAAGGGAAGGCATGGGACAGGCTGGGCCATACCTGATCTATGCAAGCCTCATCCATGTTGCCTTTCTTTTCCAGTACCACCTCTAGGTCTGTGTCCGACTCCTGCAGGGAAGGCAGGCAGGTATTAACTCAGGTAAGCCGTGATTGCCCCAGCCCCAGCAGCCCACTGAGTAAAGTCATATGATCTAGGAAAACCGGGAAAGCACAGCAGCACTAGCTTCTGCCACCCAGACAGAACCTCAGCCAACAAAGCCTTGTTCACTTTCCCTTTCATGCATCTCCCTAGCCTAATGACAGATGAAGAAGCTGAGGCTCAGCAAGTTAAAGGAACTTACAACCAGGTTACCCTGCAGCTCAGTGACATAGCTAACTCCAATCCAGGTCTCCTGATTCAATGGCTGGTGTGCAACCCTGGTTTGCTGATGGCCCAGGAGGGGTCTCCCCAACCTTTTCTATCCAGCTCCTCGGGGTACCCTCTAATTGCAAGTCAGACCAGGGGCAGTCCTTGGTCCACCATGAATGAAAACTGCCAACAGCTTTTGCATTCTTGTTTTAGAATGCTGTGTTCGGCCTAAGTGTCATGCATGTGTATATGAAATGCCTAGGGGAGGGAGGCTTTCCTTACCTCTCCTTACACCATTATTCTTGGCCTGGCCTGTGGGACTCAGGAAACTGTGTGGGCTGTCTGGAAGATGTGAGGCAGAGGGGATAACTTCCCCTGGTCGCCTTGGGGAAAGTGGTCCTAAAATTAACTGGAACTAGCTTTAAACCTCTGGGCTCCTGTCATCCTGAATTTTGTGTGTTGCATGCACATGCATGCACACAGTTGGAAGCCAATTAGGGTCTTCTTCTGTAACTTTCTTCTTCATTGCCTTGAGATGAAGGTCTGTGAAAGGACCAGAAGCTAGCTAGCTCTTAGAACCTTCCTTCCCACTAGTGCTGAGGTCACAGACACACAATGCCATATACAGATTTCAGGTGGCTACTGGGGATTTGAACTCAGGTCCTAATGTTTAAAGAGCAAGCACTCTTACCCATTAAATTATCTCTCTAGTTCTGAGTTTCTGAATAAAGAGGAGCAGTAGGGTCAGCTTAGCAGTATGCCTGATTGACTTAAGTTTACCCAGGACTCATATAATGGAAAGAACAGTCTTCCTCAAACTGTCTTCTGATTTCTACAGAAGAGCCATGTGTGGTCAAACAGAGCCTACTGTATGAGGATAAAGCTGGGAGAATTCCAGTAGCCAGAAGCACCCTGTAGGCCCCAACATGGAGCCATCCCATCATCTGAACCCCATCTGGGAAAGCAGATGCAGGCCAACAATGTCTTGCTGGTGGCCCTATCTCCCAAGGTACTCCTCAGTAAATGCCTATCATCACTCATAGGAGGGAGGGCCACAGGATAATGGTTGGCTGCTGAGACACTGGCTTTTGGGAAAGGACACAATGGCATCTCCTGACACATTCATGGATCTCCTGAGCCAGAAGCAACACTAGCTGGGTATGAGCCCCAAATCTACCTGATCCCAGCTGGGCGACCTCAGACAAATTCCTTTCAGCCTCATATTGTCCTTGTCTGTGAGTTGGAAGAAGCAGGATAGCTTCCCCACCAGACTTGTGGGTGAAGTCCGAGCTCAGAGCACCAGGAACACTATGTAATCTCTATAGCCTGTAGCTATAGAAGTACCAGGCTATCTCAAACTATCAGGCTTTGGATGTAGCCAGCAAGTGAAAGGACAAAAGACATAAGATATTCATGTAAAAAAAAAAAAAAAACCGATTCCCATTTATTGATGGTGAAGGGAACCCCGTTCTACTGGTGATGCTTCAGGAGCCCTTGGACCCTGTTTACTTAAAAAAGACAATTCCTATCATTTTCTAGTACACAGTAACACACCCACACCCAGAAATGCTGGGGTTCTGTCAGATAATGCTCAAGTGCCCAGTTTATACTTAACAGAAAACTCCTATCCTTTTCTAGCACATATTAATTAACAGATACACAATCACACACACACAAACGATGCTGGGGTTCCATCACCTAATGCACAAGTGCCTGTGCATATAGGCACTTGTACGGGCAACCCCACCCTCAAGCCCCAAGTAAACCCTACCTCTTCTTCCTCCTGCCAGGGGTTTTCCTTTACCCCACTCTCTTTCCTCTTCTTTTTCTTCCTTTTCACAGCCAGCCCTTCACCATCTGGCTTTTCCACTTTTGTCTTGGTTTTCACCTTCTTTTTCCCAGGGGCCTTTGGGTTCTCTATCGGGATGTACTCCAAAGCTTCACTTTTGATTGACTTCTTACTTCCTTTCTTCATGCTGCTCTCCATGGAGAGCTTGGAGTGGACTGGGAGGATGTCTCCCTCTTGGTGGGTCTTCTTTTTCTTCTTCTTCATGCTGTGCTCTCGGGAGCTCCCCTGCTTCCTTTTCTGCCCCAAGGCTGCCTGCTCTTCAGCATCCTTCCTCCCTGAGCAGGGGCGCAGAGCATCCCCAGCCTCACAGAGCCAAGAGTCCTGGGGAGGAAAGGCTTCCATGTCCAGAACCTTTTTTTCCTTCCGGTGTTTTTTGGACTTCTTACTGGCTTTGCTTACCTCCTCAGCATGCTTGGGGTCTGGGGAGGTCTTCAGATGTGAGGTTTGGGAGACTGCCTGTGGTAAGGACTTCCTCCTCTTCTTTTTCTTCTCTCCACTGAAGCATTCTGCTGACCGGTCAAGGACCTGCCTTCTAGGGCTGGGGGACTTTTTCTGTCCTGCCCGTGCAGCCTGAGGCTGCAGGCGTGCCTCTAAGTGAGCACTAGGGTACTTTTTTTTCTTCTTCCTCTTGCCTGGTGACATCTCAGGGACGTGTCCTTCACCCACATTATTAGAGGGGGATATGGCCCTTGGAGAAGAAACATCCACAAAATAATCATTACTGTTTAGGACTGAGTACTGAGTCTCTGGTTCTACGACCTCTGTAGCCACCACCTTCTTTTTCTTCTTCTTCTTCTTCTTCTCTGGGGGCCGTGGGACCAGGTCTCCTTTCTGAGTCTTGGTGACCATTCCTGAGGACAACAACAGGAATAAAGCAATTTATCATTTTACCCAGTCCCAGCGTGGTCCTGAAGTGGACAGTTTAATATTCGAGGGGATGGGGAAAACAGTCCCTATTCATTGTGAACAAGAGGAAAGACATTCAAATACATGAAGTATAAATCCAAATGGCCCTTCCTTCAAACCCAACTACTTGATCACCTAACCTCTCTGATTGTCAGTTGTCTTTTCTGGGTGGAAAAAACAGATCCATCCTTGAAGAGGTACTGGAGAACCTCCAGAAAAGGCTTTAAAAGGCTTTGAGCATTATTGAGACCTTTTTCACATTTTTCTGAAATCCCCAGACCCAAACTCAACAGATGGGTTAGGGTTAGGGTTAGGCCTACCCAAGCCAGCACTGCAGGAGCCAACTGTGATCAAGCTATTGGCTGGTCCCAGGGGTTTCCCTCTTACCAGATGTTGCAAGGAGAAATTCCAAGCAGCCCTCCTTGCTGACTCCCACCAGATCCAATAAAGAGGCACAGTTAAGTCAACCCCTTCTTGCTAAGCAGGAATGAACCCCCCCCACCCCCCAACACACACACACACACACACACACACACACACACACACACACACACCCCTACACCTACCTTTTACCAGTGTACAGTGAGACAAGCCTCAGCCAGGACTCCAAACATTTGGGTCAAATGGAAACACTGGTATTCTCTTTTTGCCTTATACCACTGGCTTCTCTGGACCTCAGTTTTACCACCACATAAAGGCTAAGCCAGAAGGTACTGCAGACTGCCTCAGTCTGCAAGCCCGTTTCACTGTTTTCAATTTCAAAGTGATTGCTAAGAATTAATGAGTGGCAGTAACACCTAGAAACCTTGATTACCTCGGTTTCCTCAGGAAAACAGAAGTACTTATGACAAACAGCTGGAGGTCTCAATAAATAGATTTCACTAGTCATCAATGGTTGCTGCTACTCCTGGGACTAAGGAGACTCTAGAGACAAAACACCAGAGACTTCTAAGGGGGGAAGTGGAAATTAGGAGTCCAGGAGCAACTCCATCCTGCAGCACTTGGCTTTGAGCTCACAGGGTCCACACAGGACTCAGGTCATTCCTCACACTTCAAAGATCTAGGCCAAGCTTGAGCTACAGTTCAAGTCCATTCACATCTTGCTCTAGGGTTACATGGACATTTCTGTTAATAATAGCTAAACCCATGCATTCATCCCAGTCTACCCTATTGCCTGATGCATCCTGGAGCTGCTCAGTGCTTGGCCTGTAGCAGGTTGCTAAATTCAGGATTAGAAAGGTCACACGACAAGCTTGTCTGTTAGGGCTTCTACTGCTGTGATAAAACACATGACTGACAGCAACTTACGGAGAGGATTTCTTTCATCTTACACTTCATGGAGAAGTCATGGCAGGAACCAAAGGCCAGAAGTGAATCAGATGCTATGGGGCAATGCTGCTTACTGGTTTGCTCCTCATGGCTAACTCAGCCTGCTTTCTCAGGCAACTCAAGACCACCTCCAAGGTGTGGCATTACCCAGTGGGCTGGGCCCTCCCACATCAATCATTAATCAAACAAATGCTCCAAAGACTTGCCTATAGATCAATCTTATGGAAACATTTTCTCGACTATGAGTTCCTCTTCTCAAATGACTCGTGTCAAGTTGACATACAACTAACCATCACACTGTATCCAGTCGTCAAGAAAGTGAACATGATTTTCTAGCTTGAGCCATAGAAGGATGGTTGTGTCAACCCTTTAGACAAAAGTGGAGGGGTGACTGGGCAGGTGCCTTGATACACCCACAGAACAGGTGTTATGTACAGGTCTGAGGTAAAGGTATTGACTCTGGCCAACATGGAAAACAGGACTACAGGAATGGTAATTAAGCAGGGAACAGACTGGGCCTCAAGACATAATTTTAGAGGACAGAGGATGGGAACTTACACGAGACAAAAAGATGCAAGCCCTAGAGGGCGGTATCAAGTAAGACCAAGATGCTACAGGATTGGGGGTAGTGTTCAAGAGAGGTGATTTGGATTTTTAAAAAAAAAAAAAAAAAAAAAAAAAAAGTTCCAGGAGTCAGCTTAACCGACTTTTCAACTCTACCACTCAGCACCCTGTAACATCCTCCTTCCCAGCTCTGTTAACTCTCGTCAGATGTGGAAACGAACCTACATTGCATCACCTAGAAACACATGCTTTCTTCAAAAGCGTTTTGTTTTTGAGGCAAAGGTTGGCTACACCACAGGGCTGGTTTGCAACTCGTGTTCTTCCTGCCTCAGCAGCCAGCGTGCTGGAATTATAAACGTGGGCAAAAATGCCCGGTCTTAATTCATTTTTAAATTCCCGCGGTAACCCTCAGGCAGAGCTGAGACCTCGGAGATGTTATCACCAGGACTCAAAGTCAGCAAGCGGCAAAACACGGATTCGAAACCAGGAATGTGTTGTCCTCACCAGCCGCAGGCTCCCGACTTAAAAACTTGGAGAGAAACCGAGGACTGCGGGCAAGTTTGGGGGTGACTTATCTTTGTTCCTCCTCATCCTCGCCACACAGGCCCCACTCCAGAGCCCGCCCGCGCCACCCACACTCACCTGGTCCACCCGCAGGCCAAGCCTCCCCACGTGAGCGCCCGCGCCGCCGCGACCCGGAAGTAATTTTTGCGCTTTTGGTCCGCCCCCGGGAGGGCCGTCTTCTTCCGGGTCGTGGCCTCACGTTGCCCATGGTTGCTGTGGAAACCGCGAGCATGGCGGCGCCCAGACAGGTGTCCAACCGCAGCGTTCAGCGCGAGGAGGCGGGAGGTTCCGTGGACTCGGCGGTCGCTACGCGGACGCCAGTGCCCGCCGTGTGGCCCTGGTCCCTAGAAAGGCTCGTGTCGCCCGCGCAGGTCGCTGAGCCGCCGGGAAAGAACCTGTGGGAACAGATCTGCGAGGGTAGGCGGCCACCGCTGGTCGGGCCAGGCGGGACGCGGGCGGGACCCGCGGGGACGCGCGTTCCGAACCTCTGTGCGCCAGGCGGGTGACGCGCGCTAGCTAATTAGTCTCGGGCCCACACGCGAAGAAGCAGGCTGGCGGCTGTCTGGATTCCGGTGCGACCACAGGCAACAGGCATGCAGGAGGAAGCCGAGTCAGAGAGTAGCGTGGCGTGGAGCTTCTGGGTGGAGACCGGACCACACGCAGAGCTTCCGATTGGGAACAGGGAATGGGCTCTGTAGACTGGTCCAGGTAATTCCTGTGTAGGGAGACAGTAGCCCATTTGGGGAATACTTTGATGTGGACAAATGGGTTTTGATGTCTTCTTGACCCAAACCTTTCTGAACTCCCACAAACACAGGCAAGCTCACTTGTTCCTTTGTAGCCCACGTACCTTGGTCGTGGGGCCCTGTGTTAGTCATCTAGTGGGCATAACAATGGTCGGTACGTCGTGATGTTGGGAGACTGAACCACGTAGCCACAGGCCTTGGTTACGAGAATAGTGTTAGTTTTCCTTCATTCCAAAGTCAAAGTCAAAGACACAGATTCATTCCTAATCATTCTCACTCTTTCCCAGTCCCTTCTTGCCCTCTCCCTTTCCTTGATTTGTACTGAAGGCTGGCCTCCAGCTCAAAATACTCCTGCCTTAGCCTCCCAACTACTGGAAGATTTTCATTCTTGTTACATTGACTGTCAAATACAGTACTAATAGAACCTTCAATACTCGGCGGTTTTAAATGTGTTTGACAGAATTGAAGAACCAATTTTCTTACTTTATTTCATTTAAATAAATTTAAATAGCAATCTACAGCTGTTGCATGGAATAGTTCCAGGTCAGTAAACATTTATTGACTGGAAACGGTGAATTTGCTAGTGTATAAAGTGAAGAGAGGTGAGTTGGAAGGAATGAAGAATAGAGAGGAAAAAGAGAGTTGTAGGATCAGAATCAGTACCCACTAAAACCATCTACTTAACCCCATTAGGGCTTGAATCCTTCTTCAGTGTAACACTAGCTCGAGAGAAAAATGTTTCATTTTGATGTTCTTTAAGTTCCACCCTTAGGGTCCTTACTTGAGGAACTAATCTATAGCAATGTTTGAGTGTCCTTATATTGTTGGCTTTTATCCAGAAAATTCACTTTTCCAGGCCAATAGTTCTTCATAGTACAGTTTCAAACTGCATCGTGTAGTTTGTTTCTTTTCTCATTGCTGTGATTAAAAATCCCTGACAAGAGCCAGGCAGTGGTGGCTGGCGAATGTCTTTAATCCCATCACTCGAGAGGCAGAGGCAGGTGGATCTCTGTGAGTTCAGGTCAGAGAAACCATGTCTCAAAAAAAAAAAAAAAAAAAAAAAAAAAATCCCTGACAAATGCAACTCAAAGCAGGGTTTGTTTGGGCTCACAATGTGAGGGTGCAGTATGAAGGTGATAGGGGCCAAAGAAAAATACCCTGACTTAGGAACTTGAAATAGCACCAATCCTGGGGGGGGGTCCCTGAACACAAAACCCTACCAATCCCTGAGCATGGATTCCCACCCTTCCCTGAGCAGCCCCCCCCCAAGCACTAAATTCCACTAATTCCAAGCCACCCTGGAAAGCTCTGTCCCACCCCACAAGGAACCATTGAAGCAGAGGTAGCCGCCCTCCTGGATTCTTCCTTCACAATAAAGCTCTTGAGTGAGATTGCTTGTGCTGTGTGGCATTTTCACTGGACCTTTTGCTGGGGAAACTTTCCCTTAAGTGGACCAGAACTGTAGCATGCTGTGGAATACTCCTTCTGTACACTGTTAAGATGTGTTGCTCTCATTGTTAGTGAAAGGCTGATTGAGGCAGGATATGGTGGCACGTGCCTTTAATCCCAGCACTAGGAAGGCAGAGGCAATTGGATCTCTGTGAGTTCGAGGCCAGCCTGGTCTACAGAGCTAGTTCCAGGACAGGTTCCAAAGCAATACAGAGAAACCCTGGGGGGGGGGGGCTGATTGGTGGATGGCTAGGCAAGGTTTTCCCGGCAGAGAGAATGATGCAGTCAGGGGATACCATGAAATATAGAGCGAGCAAGATAGGAAATATGTAAATAAACAAGCCTTGGGCAGCAGCACAAAAATTAATAGAAATGGGTTAATTTAAGTTATAAGAGTGAGCTAAAACCGAGCCCAAGATATTGACCAAGCATTTATAATTAATATTAACTCTCTGTGATTATTTGGGGAGTGCTGGTGGAACAGCTGGATTTTGAAATAATCAATACATAAATGTTGATAAAGAAAATTGCTTTGCCTTCTGTTGTGGAATCGGTTTCTTTGAGGCTGTCATATCTGGGTAAAATCAGGGGCAAAGGGTTTCAGTGCTCTCTAATAAACAAGTGAATTGATGACACAAAGTAATAGCTGTTGAGCAATGAGGTGGTGATGATAGGTTCCATCTATGGCCACCATGCTTTCAACCTAGATTACTGTTCTAGTTATTTTTCTTGTGCTGTGATAAAAACACTGACCAAAGGCAACTTGAGGAAGAAAGGGTTTATTTTAGCATATAGCTTCTAGTCCACAATTGAAGGAAGCCAAGACAGGAACTCAAAGCAGGAACCTGAAGCAGAGTCTATGGAAAATGATACTGGCTACCCACCCCCCCCAGGCTGTGGTTAAGCCAGCTCTCCTTATGTAAACCAGGGTCATCTGCCCAGTGCTCATATTGCCCACATCAATGAACAATCAAGAAAATTCCCACAGACATGTACTCAGGCCAGAGTGTTTGAAACAGTCCCCCAGTTGAGATTCCCTCAGATGACTCTGTGTCAACTTGAGAGCTGAAGCTAACTGGAAGAATTAACTAAACCTAATTCTTACACATATAAATAATGTAGTTTTGTATATTAAGAACATATGGAGCATATGCAACTAATTCTTAGGGAAGCATGGAGCTGGGTGTAGTGGTGCACATCTGTAATCCTAGCACTCAAGGGGCTGAAACTGGAAGATCCAGCATTTGAGGCCAGCCTGAGCTATAAAATCTCTCCAAAGAGCCAAGAAAAAGGAGGGTGTGTGTGTGGGGGGGGGGATATAGTTCTGGTAATCTTATCCCTGAAGTTAGTTATTACATTCGATTAGCATGAATCCATTAAAAATTACTACAGCCAGTAGACCTGGCAGGAGCTGAGTTTCATGAAAACAAGGTACAACATCAGTCAGTATCTAACTTAAGCCCTTTCTCCTTCCGGGTGGGCTCTACTGTTGCTGTGTGTGCACCTGGCTTGTAACCTGTTTGTAAATGTTCATCAATGTTCTCCCTCATCTTGCCAGCAACAATGAAAGCCTTTGTATTCTCAAGATTGTGTTGTTATAAGTAAGCTTTCTTCCTTTCAGTGCTTCTAATTAAATCAGAGAGTGGTTTGTGATGTTAATGGTTTTGAGCAACAGTGAGCCTCAGCGTTTGAAGCTCTTCATTTCCTATTTTTAACACCATTGTGATTACTGCTTATCAATATTCTCTTGCTGTCCTTGATATATCAGTTAATCACTCTCAAGCTCAGCAGCCCTCCATGTTATTAGAAAGTAGGTCCTTCATCCAACTGGTCAGATCCCAGCATGGGTCAGCCTTGAATGAATGCTTCTTCCTCCAACAAAGCAGCTGAACCAGCCAGAGAAAATGATACCAACCTGCTGTGGGCACTGTTCATCAGTATGTTCTCCCACCTCCCACATCCACTGGTCCAAGTTTTAACCCAAAGAAATGGTCCTGCCACTTAGCACTGGACACATTTATTGAGAAGATGCCTGCAGTTGGGAGTGTGCAGGAAATCCAATTTGTTTATACCAACACACATGTAGTGCACACCTTCAATCTCAGCATTGGAAAGTAGATGCAGATGATTTCTGTGAGTCTCGGGCCATCTTGGTCTATAGAGTGAGTCCCAGGCCAGCTGGGGCTATGTAGCCAAACCCTGTCTCAAAACAAAGACCACTCCTGCACACATTAACACAGAAATGCACACCCTACCACTCATGGCTTAGTGATCTCTGGGCTTTGGTACCACCCATCTTGTTATTCCTGGGATCTTGGTCTATCACTCCCTCCTCTTCATGGCCCCATCTTTCACATCTCTGCTAGCTTATCTCTTCACGTACTCTGGTCTGTAATTGCAGAGGAAGCCCTAATTTGAGTTCATCTCCTTCCAGCTCTTGTCTGTGTTCCCCTCTGCCAGGCTTCTCAAAGAAACACACAACCCCTTTTCACCATTCCCATGCCCACTGCCTTTCCAACCCAGAACAGAGTAGCTTCCACCCTGCTTTCCCCAAGGAGTTGTTCTCCTGCCTCAGTCACATGTATCTATTGCTGCTGGAAACTATTACTGGGTCAGGCATGACTCTTGCTGCTTGTACACACCAGCAGCTTACTTTCCATCTTGGAATGTCACCTCTTTTACTCAGTGTATCTTGACTGCCTCAATTCCCATGATCCCTAAATTCCTTCACCAGCCCTTGAATGTTATATACAATGAACACCCATTCGTGCAATGTTTATCCATGGCCTCCAAGGACTTGGACTGGACTGGGGCAGTGAGGAAATGGAGAAAAGACAAAGAGCTGATAGTGTGCACTCTCTGCTGCAGAAACTTCAGCACAGCTGAAGCTCAGCATGTTTGTTATATAAAGTTGAACAAGGAAGAGAGGTTATTACAGATAAACAAGTAGGTGGGGTTTATGGTTTATAGCTGGATCAAGGAGACAGGTTTAGCTTATCTCAGTAAGCACTCTGTAGGGTAACAGTCTTCAGGCCATAAACATTTATTGAGAGAATAATATGGTGGACAATTTCTGCACACATCAGCATCCACACAGACCAGAAGGGAAGGCTTTGCCATTCCCCTCTGATCTTCACCCTTGGGGAGAAGGCTTTGTCATTTGCTCCATGGGTCTGAGGCTCTTGTGTCCTTGACACAGCCATGCATATGTTATCACATATC